AGGGGACTCACACATTCTAGAGAGGGTTCAAAGGAAGGCGACACGTGTGATTCATGGCATGACTAACTTATCATCCAAGGAAACACTAGACAGTTTAAATATCTTTTCCCTGCAATACCGTAGGCAGAGAGGAGATTTAATCACAATGTTTAAAATTTTAAATAATGACTACGGACCTGACCTATTTTCTCTTTTCCTTCCCACCAGGTCGGAACACCTTGGAGGACATAGCAGGAGAGTTCAAAAGCCAAGAAGAAATCATATTGATGTTGAGTACTGGTTCTCACACCGAGTCATAAACTCTTGGAACCGACTCCCAAAAGAAGTGGTGTCTGCAACCTCAGCTTATTCGTTCAAGAAGGGTTTGGACAACCACAGAAATTTACTGGAAAAGGATTAACATAGGCTTCAAGCCTTCTATCCTCAACCAATAGATCTGAAACCTGTAAGCCAACAGTGCTGATTGACTCAAACAAGCGTGTATTGACGACATCCAAGGCAACGATAAAGATGAAAAAACGACTGGCCAAAACATGTGGACATTTGTCTCTGTAACCGTGTGACATTTCAGTGTTCTTGATGCAACAGATCGCTTCACGTTTTCCACTTTCTTATTGATAGAATCAATATCATTGTCATTCTTGTTAGTATCGTTCCTCTACGACTACTTCGGACATTTATATTCACAGTCTCACAATGCGTATGAACCACAGGATTCGACTAGTCGGTTGTCAAGGAGAAGTCATTTGGTCATCATTCCCTTGTCAGATTATATCTCATTTGGAAAGCTGATTCACCTAGTGCTGAAGGCGGAGATAATGTGATCGACTTTTCAAGCATAGAACGAAATCACACTAAAACAAACACAACTGGTTGAAATGAGAGGCTTGCAGATACTCCAATTAGTCAGTGGTGTACAATGTCATGCCCATGGATTCACATTGCTTTGTCAAAGAATTTACTGGTCACACCTCGAATAACCACCAGCATGGAGACATTGTCAACTATGCTATTCATCATCCCCTGACCGTCTCATATACTTTAACGGGTAACTGTAGAATGCGTAAATTTACATTTACATACTAATCAATTCAGACTTATTCCACTCTCCTGGAGTGAAAAATAGCAAGCAGTTTAGCCTTATGTGTGTTGGAACGTCCATCGAATATTCCAGTGAAACCCACCTTTGTAGAAATGACATCAATGTAACAAACGGATGACTCCTCATTCACCTTATCCATATTTTCACACATATCTCACATTGAGATTGTTTGAACATTGAAGATGTTTTGCATAATTCCATTTATTCGTGTACTGTTTTCTACGTTTATATCGTTTCCATCCGAAGTCTACAGATCTCAGGCTGATTTTCATCACTCCACATATTTTCTGTTACGATCTCGTCAGTCAAATTGTCATTAGTTCATTTTGATGTTAATAATAACAGCTGTCCGTCCATTTACTTCAAGACAATGTTTATGATCACCAATAGTGGTGATGAATTTTTCCCGAATTTTCCATTAACATGAAGCAGTACGACTGAAAGTTTAGGTTGCATTATATGTCATTGTTATCCTCATCAACGCAACAGGTCTGCGTATCTTACAATATTTCAAGTGTTTCTCTATGCTGCTAACACTGTGCATAGCTGTTTAGAGTTGAAGCATGTTCAGCTTATATTTGATGGCTGCAGATTCCTTAATGTGAGAATGTAATTTCTGTAGGATTCATAAAACTATGCTCATTAGACATTACTGAGATCGTGGATCAATTTCCAAGTTACGCCTTTGCAATGCTTCATTTAGTGTAAGCGTAGTTAGTGTGAAGTTGATCCGCAAGGCTACTTAATAAGAGAAAAGCGTCTCAATAATATGGATGCTTCAGATATTGTCATGAAATTTGCGTATAATCCTTTAATACTGGAAAACATAATTGATCTATTGATGCATACGGCGTCAGTATAAAAACCAGCTGCAGACTACAAATACATTTATTTGCCTGAGATATTGCTTAGTAATAACAGAATCAGTATATTCATAGTGTATGCTGATATGCAGAATTATCTTTTATAACTTCATGTGCTAGTACTCACAAGTGCTTAATTTTTTTCAGGTATACGGAGGTTGGCAAATATGAAATCAGCGGAAATATCATTCGGCCAAACTAACGCCAATACCATTCATCAGGATTTTCTTTTGTATACAGTGACATCATCAAATAGACTGTTCACTTGACAGTGAGCAAAGAAACAATTTTCATCTATTTCTAATATGCCGTTGAATCATGTGATGCTATCTAATATCCATCATTTCGATGATCAACAACTGCAGTATTTGCATATCTACTTTATGGATATTAAATAACTTACGCCTTCATGCACCTAATTACCTCCAGTATTACAACAGTATTCCCTATTCATTTGATGTGTGTACACTAAACAAGTCTTTCATACATTCTCCCACAAATGACAAGGTTTCTGGTGTCACAAGTGTTAATGAGAGTTGCTTCCCTGGTTTCAATACAAATGACGTTCTAAAACATCTCCAGTCGTTGAACCCTTCTTGTAGCCTAGTTCTAGATTGTTTGCCTAGCCTTATTCTTAAAAAATGTGCAGATATCCTGTGTTATCTTCTCACATATTTAATGAATATTTTTCCAGAAATGTTGTGCCAGCCGTTTGGAAGGACATTAAAATTGTACCTATACCTAAGTCGTCTAATGGGACATGTTTTAAATTTAGACCTCCTCTTTTCTAAAAGCTAAGGAAAAGTTACTCTTACTTAATCTTCAACCTTCACTTAAAGCCTTTAACGATCTCAAATAATTCGCCTATAAACACAGTAGAAGTACTTTAGATGCAGCTGCAGTCTTGCATCACAACATTTTCTCCATTATAGTTGTCCACTGCCGATTGTATTTTTTTGACGAACTTAATGTACATGAGCACACAAAATGAAATATGTCAAGTGCGCGGACTAACTATTCCAGTGTCTTTTAATTTGCAGCTACACTGTACAAAGATGAACAGCTTTCCATCAGGGGTCAGAAAATGCTCTTAAACTAAATCCTTCGAAATGTCAGACTGTTAATTTCAGTTTCCGATATAAGAGAAAGTCAGGCGAAGCTGTTAATTCCTATGACCGTTGCAAAATTGATGACAGTGATATAGAAATCAAGTCTGACTTTAAGTATCTCGGACTAATTCATCAAACACCGTATTAGCCCTTAATGTGTACCACATGAAGGCATAATGTTTATGATCTAGGTATGCAAGTCTAGGCGAGCGCTTGTACGGTACAGTCATTATTTATAAAACTAAATCGTATGTAAGAACTACGATTTGACCAGTTATAAAACGTTTAATATATTCAGTTAATATATTCAATTAACCTACGCCGCTTACTTCTATGACGCACTACGTAAAGCTACCTTAATTTAGTTTCCGGTGAGGGTAACCTCCTATAGCTACTGCCTTAGTGAGCAACTTAACGTTATTCTTCAATAACAAGGTAAAAGTGGAAATTCTGAAAACTTTCTTGGTAAAAAATCGTCTCCTACTCTAATAAAGTGAATATACCCTAGTCTCCTCAAAAGCGTTTAGAGGTATTCATCCTATCACCTCAAATGTCTCACTATTTGCAGTCACTTAGAAAGTAAAAATAAATTTCCCGAAGACAGTGTGCTAATGATTTCTAGGCATCATAATGCACCATGAGGAAAAAGCTATATCCATAGTGTTACAACAGTCAGATGCGCGAAATTAGTCCGAAACACAATGACTACGATTCTCAGCCACAGAACATCCTACTTTGCTACCTAATTGTCTAATCTTATCAACAGAAATTTTGCCAAGAAAAAGAAGACCACTGGTTCAAGGAAAATTAATTTAAAGTTTCATTAAAAAATCATGCCAATCCGTGTTTATAGTCACGGAGACACCACAACATCGAGAAAACCAGCAATCGTAGACCACAATCCAAAACGTTATTCTTGCTAACTAAAGTCTTACCTTTAACTGAGATCGTTTGTACACTTACCAGATCATCGTATTTTATTCATTTTGTAAATCGTTTTGCAACATATCGAGTGGCTGTTAACGCTGGCTCTACTAAAGGCAGTCCTGGTTCATGTATTTGGATTTAATACATTAAGCATTAATAAGCATGCATAACACTTACCCTTAAGGGGTTCCAGTTTCTTTTAGTTCCTAAAAATACACACAAGCACAACAGATTCATACTTCTCATGTGGCTCAAACTTGTTTGATTTAGATTCTCTCACAATATATATATCTGATTTTTTTAACTGATTACAGACACACTGATGGTACATTCATCTTCTCGAAAAGTTTCAAAGCTTTCTTAACTTCAAACCAAGTTCTAACCCAGCTGGCAACGATTTCGGGTGCATTGCAGATATTTTGGGGCAGGCTTAGGGGCACTGTCCCACGTAAGTAGATGCGCCCGAATTTTTTACCCCAGAAACCTGCAGTGCGCCCGAAAATAATGCTAGATGAGAAATTCTCAAGGTTTAATATGCTCTTCTAAAAGCTTGCTAATATCAACCCTGATCGTGCTCTCTTCACCATATTCACTCGTAGATTGTTGCACGCTGTAAACATGAATGTGACAGACACTGTTTTTTTTCCAGATTTCTGCATGTTAAGTAAGCAACTGAGCCAGCAACAATAACGGCAACCAACGAATGAACTGGAAACAACCGCTTCCGCCAACCAAACATGTTCATGTGCATAATTTCCAAAACTTCTACACAGTACTAATTCATTAATAGTGGAAAAACAACTAAAACCCCGAAATCATGCATGAATGCAACGTATGAAATAATTACAATGAAATGAATTCACTGACCTGTTGTTAAAAACTTTTGAAATAAACGAAATAACTAATTTTAACAGAAACGGAAACAATATTGAAGTGAAACGCAACATTCGTAAGCAATGTGCATCAAGATAAGTTGTGAATAACTGCTGGATAAACGGAAAAACCAATGTGTAAACGAACAGCTACGGAATTGCAATCCAACATGGCCGACTAACATGGACGCAAATGACCTTTGAGCGTCTCACTCCATCAATGACCTTGCACGTGATGCTTAATTTCAGTCACCAATACATATTAAATCTGAAATGTATCAGGTGGCCGAGGGAATTTTGAATGTCAAGGTTAGGTCGCGTTTTCACATTTTGTATATCTGATGGTGTACAATGTCTGACCGGTCAGTAAATACTTTTTCTACTTATGAAAAACGGATAATGTAGTAAGCCTCAAACTTCCCATGAAGCTGAATATACGGGAAGCATTATTATTAGATAAATTAAGTGATACGTCACGCACACATTTGCTCGTATAAGACTACATATAAGTAAAAACTAAAATAAAAGGGATGCTCGTTGAGTTGGATGTAAAACTCTCTTATCACAGCAAATAAATGCCCGAGAGATGTAACGCGGTCCAATTTATGGCATCATATAGCGCTCTGTGCTGCATGCTCTAACTACCCAAAGTTAACTGCAACTCATCCAAGCCCTTACATTTGAAATATCTGGAAGTCCTTTCTTTCTCCACTACCAAATAAAATTGCATAGAACAGCATATTTATAGGAAAAATAAGATGTAAACAACGAAGATGGTATCTTCGACAAACAGTTCTCAAGGTCCTTGGAATCGTATACATATTTAACATAGAATTCATTGGATGAATGAGACAATTTCAAACTTGTTCCCAGAATGCATTATATAATGTGACCTATAATCCAGAAGTGAAGAATAAGAAATGGGTGCGCGAAATTGAAATCCTGCGAAAAAGTGTGAAGAATGAATAACCAGTTTACCTGTATGACGTATGACAACCACAATGCTAAACTCACGATAACGTCAACCGCAAGTATTGTAAGAGCGGTATATTCGTTAAGGTAAGACGAATGAATGTATTCACTGACTTTGAATGCAAAGACGCAGCTTCGAGTTCCGAATTACCAGTGATTCGCCTATGCATAAATGGCGTACTGGAAGTCCTTTCGTGAGATATTGCGAGACCTTGTGTAGCACTGTGAGACAGTCATGCAGAGATACTCGATATTTAGAGTTGTCGTGTTCGAGGATAGAACTGCTGGTATTCATCGTTTCTCCACCGGCTAACTAGGCTGTACAGTGTCTCAGAATGCGTTCACGAACTTGTGTAGGGCCGATGTACTCGGCTCCAAATGAATAAGTAGACCGACAAATACGCATTGAGGTGGCCAAAAGCGGTGTCTTATCCTAACTGCTGGCTGGATTAACTTTGCTGAAGGATGTGATATGTAAGGTGGCTGCTTGAAGTGTCTTCCTCAGACTTTTAGAAAGGCGGCTTCTTATAATTTCTGTTTCAATGTCACCTTAGGTTCTAGGTTCACAGAGAGATTTCTTCGGAACTTTCGGGGACGGGGGTTTTTCCTTCACGTTTTTGTTGACAAACCTAGGTGGACACCCGTTCTTCAGAAAGGCTTTCACGTAATGGTTTTAATTCATTCCCTATCGTATCTTCTGAACATATTTTTCTATTTCTTGCGAACAATTTACGTACGTAGTTTTGCTTTCGGATCATTTGGACAAAGTTAATAAGCTGTTCCCGTTTAATTTTGGTTTGCGCTATATTGATGTTTAGATCGAGTTTTCTTGTCTTCTAGTAAATAGTACATGCAGCAGTAGAAATGGCATGTTTGATTCACGTTCTAGAGCTAATCTTATTGACGGGTGAACTGCGTTGAGATTGTTTATATCAAGTTTTTCATCATAAATTGCATCATTACCATCTACACATCTTTCATAATGGTTCAATTGACTGATCAAAGAATCAATGATGTTCTCAAGACTCACCATAAAACAGTCGGCCAAGAGTGGACCGAGAGAAGACTACATACCCATACCATCTCTCTGCACGTAGAATTGTTCGTCGAATCTAAATTGAATACTAAACATACACCTGAAAAGTAGTTTCTTCAGGTAGTTGATGGGAAGAGGAACTTCTGGGTTGTTGGTTTTGATGTTGTTGCAGATAAAGCATATTGTCTCGGTTAGGACGTGACATCTAGCGAAGACGTTATTTCTCAAACACTGACCTCTTTCAATGAATCGATGAAATTCAATGTGTCTTTAAGGCTATAAATACCCTGTCGTATGTTTCTACTGGTTCGAGGATACCTACTAGCCACTTCTTCTTTTGTAGTCATTTTCTTCTGTAGTTTTGTAAGTAGGCATACTGTCCTTTCTGTTGTCTTTCTGGTTGAGCGATTTAAAGAATTTGGTGTTTTCTCTTAGTACGTTTGTTAATTTTTCGACGTAATCTCATCTGTTCATTACTACAATCCCATTACCGTCATCTGGATAGACGAGGATTATGTCTTTACTCTCTCGAAGTTGTTGGAATTATTTTCGGTTTTCCTTCGTTAATTGATAACGATGACTCGGTCGTGCGCGCATGCACTTGTAGCAGCTATCGACGACTGAAGCTATGATCTATTCGAAATCGTTTTCAGAACTGGGTTACAAATCAAGTGTCGGGGAGTTAGACTGTAGAACTGGACTTTGGTTTGTAATTCGTTGATTCGGCTGGGTGCATTGCAGAATTTCAAACCAAGTGATGGGACTTAGAATTGGATGAGAGTGAGAGGAAGATGTGAACAGTTGAAGACATATTTTTCAGGATTCGGTGAAACTCTCTCATAATTTGGAATCGGCTTTTGTTGTCTAGGAAATTATTCCATAAGCCAACACGTGAAACGCGTATGAGGCATTCCTGAAAAGGAAAAGGAACTATTAGACTTTTTAATCCTGTCACAACTCTCTTATAGGTTGCGTATGCTACCCAGTACCTCGTGGATCAGCTGCTTACCATGTGTATCATTGTCCTAGACATCGTCCTTGCCACGTAGGGTCTGCTCCGGGTAGAACAGCCGCTAATGTTTCCCATTGCGTAAACTGTCAGTAACTGATGGCTTAAGATCCATGAGGAACTTAGTGACCATAACTCGTCTCACTGAAAAAAAGTATTAAATGCGTCATTTTCATTGAAAATTATCAAGACATTGGGGACTCGTCCACCTGAATATCTCACTGGCTAGCTATAATCGATCTGTTAAGACTAAAGTCATGAGCGACTCCAACCTTCAATGTCTGCCTTGACTGACCGTTCTACTCCAAAACGGGAATGCATTGCTAATCTTTTCAACACTTCGGTTGTGTTGCATGAAGTTGAAGTGTCAAATGAAGCAGTTATAAGGGATACATTCGGTCATTACTTTGGTTGGGGATTGTTGGCATTTGAGGTACTCGTAGCACACCTCATGAACTCCGCAAGGATTTGGTTATCTGCAAACTGTTGATACATTATATGAGAGACTTCCTGTAAAGGTTGCTGTGATGATCTGAAACGGTCCAGTATACTCCTAAGAAGTAATTGGCAAGCAACTTCGAAAGTTGTCCGCAATAAATCTTATCACTTGAATAGGTAGGCCATCTTTCACGTTTTAGAAGTGTCAAATGAAGTAGATCTAAAGGTTAGGTACAAGCATGAACTCGGTCTCACCATATATATCTATTACAAGTAGACATTTTTTATCCAGTGAAAATGTTATCTCACATTTTTATAGTACTTTTAGACAGGACAAGCTTCTTGGTTAGCCGTGAAGTCATGATATACTCATGCAGTCAGATAATAACATGATTAGACATTTTTCGATTTGTCTATTTTTGGCTTAAATTCTTGAGATTTTGTAAATGCAAAGTACTATGTATTTTATCCAATAAATTTCGTTTTTGTCGCGATTGAATCGGACTTTTATGTCCATCTCAATGTATGTGTTATCTTCAAGTGATCAGTTGGTTATTATGTCGTGTTCTGATGAGGCTTTCTAGTGGAGATAAGACGATCTGTCTGTCTGTCTGGATTCAACATAGAACTTGGCACCGAAGTGCAGCAGTTCGAGTTGCCACGTTCCAAATAGCACACAAAGGTAGACAAGAAAATGAGTGAAGAGAATCAATAGAGTTTTGACAAGTATAAGAGTGAAACAGAATGAGTAATGGTAGAAAGGAGTATGAAGGTTAAAGAGACTGAATACATCTGCGCCATTGACAACGACTTTGAGCCATGTCACCTATTGTCTCCAGCCATTGATTCTTAGAGTCCCGAGGGCCCCAACCCGGAAGTCTGCATCTCCCTACCTGACTCAGTTTAACTGTCAAGGATTTCATGGATTGATGCCATGTTTTTGTTTGGCCACCACTTACTCTTTTCCAACCTGCCTGCACCTATATCAGCTAGTAATGCCCGTCGGGGGAGACGATGGTTAGGCATGCGCAGCACGTGGCCTAACCATCTCAATCTATGTAACTTTATAGCCTCTTCGATTGATTTTCCCTCTTTGCCCAACACTCTACGCCTAACGTCAACATTACTTACCTTATTATACCACCTAACGTGAGAAAGAGATCGTAAACATCTGTGGTCAAAAACAGACAATCTCTTCATGTCTTCCGCTCTCAATGGCCACGTCTCACCGCCATAGAGAAGGACGGAGCGAACTGATGAGCAGTATACACGTCCCTTGGTTGACAGCCGGATAAGACGAGATAAGACGATGACCACAACTCAGTTACACTCTGTCATAGCGTATTTTGGCGACGGGGTTATTCATGTCAGTGCTACCATAACAAGTATACTTGATAAAATTCTCACTGAATTAAGTACTTCAAAGTAGTATTTTGTAATATAACTTGTGAAATTGAAGATAAGGGGAAAAGACCAGAGAAACTGTTTCATTGGAAGCGTGGGATAGTTGGGGAAACTGGGTGACATCTCATCCCCAGCTCACTCCTGATTAATTTTCACTGTTTTTCTTTCTCTTTTATCCTTTGTTTTCTGTGCTATGAATACAGTTTAAATGAAATTTATGAATTTCATTGGTAGTGTATACCATTGTAATTATATTACATTAATTTGCTTCCAGGCTAAATATGCTGCCTTGTGCTATTACTTCACAAACGTAGAATACATCAAACAACCAAAAGTCACGTTCTGCATACTCCTACTTCCAAGTTTTGTGCTTGTAATTCTCTTTAGTTTCTATTTTTTTTTCTCTTGTGATTTTGAAGTCAAAATTATTTAACTTATTTTCATTAAGTAGCTAATCATCATATAAACTTCGCGATTTTATTTAAACTATGTTTATTTCAAAGTTGGCAAACAGAGGAATGGAACTATCAAAAGTTATTCAACTATTGGATATGTATTGTTTGCCTCATTTAGCTGAGAAATGGGATAATGTTGGCCTCTTAGTAGAGCCATCTCCTCCACATTATGTCAACAAGATTTTACTTACCAATGATTTAACAGAACAAGTAATTGATGAAGCTATCGCTGAAAAAACTGGTCTTATCGTATCATATCATCCGCCTATATTTTCACCTCTCAAGAGGCTTACACAACAACATTGGAAACAGCGTATCGTTGTACGTTGTTTAGAGAATCGGATCGCTGTATTTTCACCACACACTGGTCTTGATGCAAAAGTTGGAGGAATTAATGATTGGCTTTTGGAACCATTGGGTAAATGGCCTTTTTTCCCCCTCCACTTTATTACTTGATGGTATGTTTTAGCTGTGAAGAGTAAAGCAAATCTATCTCGATCATCTGCAGTCAATCAAACTTTGTCTCAGTTGACTGTAGTGATGGGTGAAAATTTCACAGAATTTGTTTTATCTACAGGAGTAAATGTGTGCACAACCAATATTCAAAGGTAAGTTATGTTAGCGTTATATTATGCTTTTTTTCTTGCTTTAGTGATGTTGGTGTTACATCAGCTGTTGTTACTTGTCCGGAGTCCGAACTAAAACGTACAATGGATGTCATGGAGGAGCTTAAGATTCCACTGGTCAGTATACACACAATTCAAAAGGTATATATGCACCTTCTGAAAATAATCGCTTTCTGATAGACAGATGGGGAAGGATGTGGACGATTGGTTACACTACAGTTTCCAGTTCACATGAGAGCAGTGATTGCTGCTTACAAAAAATTTCTAAACGTGGAGCATTTAACTGTAGCTCTGGGAAGAGATAAAACCCTTGGTAAGGTCAATGTTTTATTCGTCTGACTCATCTCTTCATTTATGTCTTTTTTTTCCTTCCTTTACGTTCTCAGTGGAACATAGGGCTTCAAGCTAGAGCTTCGAAGTTTCACTAGCAGTGGTTTTATTTTAGCCTCATGCCCAACCTTTCCTCTTTGCCAGTCTTACTACTGGCTTAGTGAGGTAAAGAAGTACGTCGGCAGGGGATCGAACCCCGAACCACATGCGTGGTAATTTAATTTCATAATTTTCATCCACAAACTCACCGTCATTGGTTTTTTACATATAAAGCTGTGTAAATTAGAGTAAAGCCTGAAGAAGATCTAATTGAAAACAACAATATTGTTTGCTTATATATATATGTCTGGTTCATGACAAGTGGTTCACACTACTTATTACTATTAAGTAAGAAGGTTAGTGATTATAAAAATGTATGTCGTGACTGGAGGGAATACTGATGATAAAATTTAATTTGATGTTAGTTATTGTGATTTGCAGTACTGTCGAGCAATCCCAATTACACGGAAACGGACCTGATTGTGTATCCAGACGGTACTGACTGTTTGTTGAATTTTGGTTATCGTGTCAGCAGAATTACTGGTTTTCAGTGTAGAATGCGACATTTTTCTTATCTTTCGAATGGTGTAGATGAGGATTTTAGTCATTTATTGTGTTACTTTTTTATGGTCATCATTAGTGTTACTGATTAGTAGTAAGTAGTATAAGCTCCCTGTCCTTTTATTACCAGCAGGAATTATTTTTCACGCTAATTAAGTGAGTTAAATCCTTTTGAGTGATCATGCATTGTCAGTTTCCTTTAATGAAGTTTTGTCATATTACAGAGAAATCACTCATCGGAAAAATGAATGAAAATAGCGGAAATATTTTTTCTTGAACGGAAGTTTCCATATAAAGAATACGATGGTCTAAATTGAAATAATCTATATGATCTCTGTATTCTTGAGGTATATGTGTGTATCCTATGTGCTTACTAATAAACTATTTTTTTCCGAGGTTTTCGTTTCTACTGTATCTTACCTCATATCTCTAATTCCTGAATAAATTCTTTTGTCGTTCTAGCCTCATGTACTACTGATGAAAGGTTGAATACTACTCGCATTGGTCAACAGTGCTTGATAACCAGATCGATGGGATCTAAACACCAAACGGTTTAAAAAGCCCGTTTACAGCCGGGCTGCTCGACGGTGCACCTGGTTTGATTCAGCTGCTCACAGAGCCTAATCAGTTCTTTTTGCCTCATAATGATAATAATGATCCCTTGGGTTCCGAGTGGAATATAGAGAACTTCAACAGGACATCTTCATTTTATCCTATCCTCCGGAACCCTCTTCAGCTGGCTTCAAGACTTACCACAAGCTTTCACCTCCCTCTCACACGGTCTCCTCTGTGTCACCATTGGACATCTAACTCGTCAATTCCCTCTCGTGTTCCACTCGACGGCCTGGCGTGTGATGCCACCCAACTATCTCTTCAGCGTGTGTCGGATCCATCTCCATTTTCTCCGGCATGTTTGTTAAGCAATAGTTTCTTGATTGGTTCGTTGCTGGCTAGATTTCCTTGTTGCTAACTGCTTTAGGTCGGCGATCTGATCTCCAGTATGGAGCGAGTACAGCGAGTTGATAAAATTCTGCAGTCTGTTGGAAATGCTTTTCGCAACACCTGTGCCAAGTTTTCAACCTATATAGAAGAACTTACGTAACATCCGAAATTTTTGTGTTCATGTTGAGTGCAGTAGGCTTCCAAACTGACTTCAGAGTCATAAATGTCTGTCTTGTCTTTTCGATTCTGGTGTTGACATCCTGATCCATGCCACCGCATATAATCGAAATGATGCTTCCTAGATAATTGAAGGAGGTGACCCCTTTCAAATTTCTTCCGTCGATAGTAATTGGTGCTGGTTGCTGTTGGTTGGTTGGTTATATATGTTTACTTGAAGTTCCTGTCTTTACCGCCTACCTCTTCTGCTTCTGTGATACAAAACTCAGCTAGTGGTTCTTTCAGTATCTGATAACTTTTCTGAAGGGACCACGTTCAATCTAATTTCAAACTTTGGTTATTTTATAACTCCAGGTACTGACAAATATGGTAGTTTATTCTAAGGTTGTGATCATAATTCAGCATCCGCGAGATACTTTTGTTTTTTTTAGTTTTCGATAGGGATGTCCACATGTTCACTGGTCTTTGACACTGAATAATCAAATATTTGTTTGTGCTTCGATTGGACGAAGTCAGCATTTTAAAATTCAATAATGTGTGGTATTGTTTAACGTGTGTGTGTGTGTGTGTGTGTGTGGAGGGTAAGTGTAAGGCTGCTACGCTTGTCTAGTTATAATATTTTCAAAAGAATATTTATCAATGTCTCCAAGATTACTTACTCTTATATAAATTTGCAAGCTAAAGATTTGAATATGTAATCTATGCTATTTAGTGGTATAATGTGATGAGTAATATGAAGGTGAGGCTTACAGCGCATTAGGTAAGAAAGGAAGGTGAATCGATGAGGTTGCGAAGCCGATCCACCGGCTTCTTCGTCGAGCAATGTTAGTTGACACATAGGGTAAGTCCGGAAGAGATTTAGAGGTGGTCAGGTTGAAACTTGGTATTAATTTATGATATATATATATATATATAATTAATACCGCCAAAGTATTATTCACTTGGGTTCCGAGTTGAACATAAGGCTTCAACAGTACATTTTTATCCCACCGTGTTCTGTGATGTCTTTTTTTAGCTGGCTGCATAATCGCCCATAAGCTTTGATTTCCCCCTGACACTATCTTCTCCATGTCACCGTCTGACAAGTGCCCAACTCTTGGTTTTTCATTCAGCTTTCACTCGTGGACCTGGCGTTTCATGATATTCACCGTTATCTTCAGCGTACGTCCAATCCATTGTCTAATGCAAATACTGTATAAATGCCTAATCATCACACCTTGGTCCAGCAAACCCTCCCTTGCAAAGTGACCAGATTTCTTAGTAATTGTGGTGCAAATTTTAATGTACTACGTTTACATTTTTTGAAATATATTTTCTGTGTGTTGGAATTTCTCTAGCGGTTTGAAAGATTTAGTCGTGTGGGGTTGCTAGCCTCATGCCCAACCCTCCCCCTTTACTCGGGCTTGGGATCGGCTAGAAAACTAGCGGACCATGGGAAGAAACCAACCAAGAACCGACCGCTCAACAAATATGTTGGAGAAAGTGAAGATGGATTGGGCATACATTGAGGAGGCCGCCGAATGACATCGTATGCCAGGCCAACGCTCGAGTAGAATCCCGTTGGGAAGTGACGAGTGAGTCGTCCTAGGGTGACATGGAGGAGATCGTGTGAGGAAGAGATGAGAGAGTTTGGCCAATCGTGAACCCATCTGAAGAGGTTGGCAGAAGACAGAACAAAGTGGAGATGTGTTGTTGAAGCCCTATGTTCCACTCGGAACGCAAGGGAATATTAATAATGATAATAATAATAAATACGTTTCCATTATTCCATTTAGCCAAATATTTTCTCCACTTTTATGTTTACTTTTCACAAAAATTATTGTCCCCCCCCCCCCCCACACACACACCCCTATTCTCTGTTTTTTTCGTAGATCATCCAATTCAAACAGTTGCAGTATGTGCTGGATCCGGTGGATCACTTCTTTGTCAAACACCGCTTGCTTTAACTGCTGATCTATTCATCACAGGGGAATTATCACATCATGATCGCCTTGAAGCAGTTTCTCGTGGTATCTCTGTTATATTGGCTGGACATTCAGTAACAGAGCGGGGATTTTTCAAGGATAGATTTATTCCTGACTTTCGACAATTGTTAGCCACAATTCCTAGTTCTGGTCCCGATTCTCCCCATTTGGAATTGTTAATATCTGATGTAGACCATGAACCGGGTTGTGTAGTTTAATTAGAACTGTGCTTCACTGTGCTATTTTAATATGCTTTACATGTTGTGTAATATTAAAAATAATAAATCGAGATGATTTTGTCATTTTTGAACAAAGCAACAACTACAGTTTTAGCAGAATAAAATGGTACCATATTTTATTTCGTCGCCTTCTCTTCAGCTGCTTACAGGGCAGAAACATTATTAAATGTATCTACAATAACAATTTAACATACTTACGCAGAGTTCATTTTAAACAGAAATCAATCGATCAGTATATACACACACTAATAATATATACATATATATATGCAATATTGAACACAATTCCGAGCAATAATAATCATACAAAATGAAAACTTTTCAGTATCTCGCATTAGGATGAAAAATATCCAGTTACCAGGGCAAAGAAAGACGGATAACTGCTTCTTTCTGAACGCACAAATCAGGTTTTAGGCGCTTGATGGAAAAAGCTTCAGCAAACTTAAGGAGCATTGAACTCTTTTGCTTATTGATAATTTTGAATGACTTTTCCACGTCCACCTCATGACCCTTGTCGAGGAGATGCCTGGCGATGGCACTGTTTAAAGTATTTGTTCCCTTTAGACTTAAGCTTTGTGGTACATGTTCAGAAAATCGTAGACATGCCCTTCTTTCTGTCCTTCCAATGTAACTGCTCCCGCAGATACATGTGAATTTTTATATACAGTTGGAGTTAACATGAGAAGGATATCTATCGATTTTTGATTGCATTAGAGAGCAAGTTGTTCGAAAGACGGGAACGAGCTTAGCTGCAGGATAGGCTATGGCTAGTGATGTACTCAGCCTTCTGTTGATCATCGCTGCAATGTTTTCGCCTTTATAATCAAGCTCAAAGTAGATTGGCTTTTTTCTTACTGTGATTTGTTTTTCATTTGCGACTGCAGATCTTCCATACTTGTTGATGAACCTTTTAGGGTACCCATTGCTCTTCAATGTTTTTTCAAGAAACTCAAATTCTTCCTCTAGTTTCTCTGTAGAGCAAATTCTTCTCGCTCTATAGTACAGAGTCTTGACCAGTGCTCGTTTATAGCTATTTGGACAAAAGCTATTAAAATTTAGGTATTGTCCTTTCCATGTGGACTTACGATAAATTGACTTTTTTGTTGTCAACTTCCTGCTTTCATTGTTTTGTGTCGTACATGTCTTTATTATTGAAATACATATATATGGTGATTATTGAATGACAGTATTAAATGGTATATATAGTAGAGGTAGTATTTAGAGCAGTAGGGCTTAACTAACCAAATCATAGTGATATTTGCATGTTGGTATGTACTACTGATTAATCGATCGATGAGTAGTTGGTGGAAAACACCCACATCAACCAGTGATGATTGCTGTACAGGCAGAAGTTGATCTAAATAGAATTCGGCTTTTTAGTTCTATGTTCGTCAATAGTAAGAGTAAGTGTTTAAAAAATGTCCCCTGCTTCATTTCTTTCATCTCCGAAAAAAATCTGATGCCAATGCATCTGATAGTTAGTCGATGGTTAGTGGTAGACTCCGATCTTCTTGTCGAAAAGCTGTCACATATGGCTACAGATTCATAGCCTACACTAGATAAGTCTTATTCACGCGTCGAGATGTGTTCTGACAAAAGTAGTGGAAGGGCGAATACGAGTATTTGGCACTTATCACTGGACTGCTGGATATAGAATTCCACTTAGAATAGTAGGGAAGTCCTGATTCCCCAGACTCGTAGTGCACATGAGCTTCAGATTTCGAGAGGGACTGATAGAGTACGAATCTGCTATAGGCAGCTGCAACTATCAGAGTGTTACCAGCGCAGATACAGAGGGCTAGTTTCGCATATGCCGGTTTACGCCGTGACGTGATATCCGACTATCGACCAAAGGACGTGTGTACTGCTCAACAGTCCGCTCCATCCTCCTTTATGGCTGTGAGACCTGGCCATTGAGAGCAGAAGACATAAAAAGACTAGCTGTCTTCGATCATAGGTGTCTGCGTTCTATCTCCCGCGTTAAGTGGTATAAAAAGTGAGCGATATTGAGGTTAGGCACCGAGTGCTAGGTAGGTGGAAGGGGAAGTCAATCGACGAAGTTGTGGACTCACACCGATTGAGATGGTTAGGACATGTGTTACGTATGCCTAGCCATCGCCTTCCTCGACGGACAATGTTAGCTGACATAGGGTCAGGCTGGAAAAGAGCTAGCGGTGGTCAAACCAAAACATGGCACCAGTCAATGAAATCTACAACAGTTAGTCTAAGCTACGTAGGAAGGTGTAGACTTCCTGACTGGTTGGGGTCCTCGGGATGGTAAAAACCAATGGCTGGAGACAATCGGTGACATGGCTTAGTGGCGCAGATACATCCACTCCTTGTGAATTATAATTTCTAATGAAACTATATTGTTCTTCGTTATTACTATTCGTTCTGTCTCATATCCCTGTCTACTGTCTCTATTTTGCATTTCTTCTACTTTCTTCTCTTGCTTTGTGTGCTACATGGGGTGTGGTGACTTGAACTGCCGCACATATATGCAAAGTTCTATGTCGAAAACAGAGAGACTGTGTTACCACTTGGACCAAAGTCTAGGTAAAGTGATCGGAGGGTAGTCCTGCTCCAGTTTCCAGGTATCCGGTCAATATCTTAAATCTCACAGAAATCATGAATCTGGTGCATCTCTAAGTGTTCATGTCGTATCAGTTATTTTGTTTAAATAAATAATGTAATGTATATACAAGAGGGTTGTGAATCCCATAATTAGATTAATAATTAGTCCTAAAATTTAGAGGTAGATAAAGCTAACTTACACGTTATTGGTTCAATGTTCCCATTTCTGTTTAATTTCATCGTAGATATCGTAATAATGGACTTAACACTGACTGACTTCAGCGACTAAGGGATTGACTTGTTACCACCAGGGAATGATCTCGTTGACTTAGAATATGAGGATGATATAGACCTTCTGAGTGAAGACGCTGACAAAAAAGAACAGTCTTCTGAACACCTTGAGCAGTAGTTTTCGAGTGTTCGGCATGCGATTCGCTCCCCCTGTCGAACGTAAGATGATGCTACAGGACTGAACTTCACTGATTCTTAGCCTAAAGATGGGAATTGGAGTGGTTGGTGGAGTGTGTTCACCACTGCACTTATTTGAGGAGTTGGATCAGCCAGTTCCAGTTGGTTCATTGTTGACGAAATCTCAGCACGGATACAGAAGGCACGTTTGGCATTTACCTGTGAACTTACGCCATCTCTAGCTTAATAGACGTGATATCCGGCTGTCGACCGAAGGACGTGCGTACTGCTTAGCGATTCCCTCTGTCCTTCTTTATGGCTGGCTGTGAGACATGTTCATTGAAAGTGGAAGAACCGAAAAAGCCGACTAGCTGTCTTTGAGCATAGCCGTATGCGTTCTATCTCCCGCGTTAAGTGGTATAAAAAGTGAGCGATATTGAGGTTAGGCGCCGAGTGCTAGGTAGAGGGGAGGGGAAATCAATCGACGAAGTTGTGGACTCACACCGATTGAGATTGTTAGGACATGAGTTACGCATGCCTAGCCATTGCCTTCCTGGATGAGCAATGTTATCTGATATACGACGCATCAGGAAAAGAGCTAGCGGTGGTCAAAACAAAACATGGCTTCATCAGTCATTGTAATCTACAACAGCAAGTTTAATTCAGTCACATCGGGAGGTATAGACTTCGTAGCTGGGGTCCTCGGGAGACAATTGGTGATACGACTCAAAATAATTCTCAATGGCTGGTGCAGACGTATTCAATCTTTGTTATTCATAACACCCAATAAAATCCTATTGTTCTTCCACATTACTATTCTTCTTCCTCCACACTTATGTTTATTATCTCTCTCTGTCTTTTGAACCTCTCTTTACTTTCTTCTCTTCCTTTATGTGCTACATGGAGGGAGTGTGGCAACTGGAACTGCTACACATTTGTTCAAAGCTCTACGTTCAAACCAATCAGTCAGGTTGAATGCTCGCCAACCACGCACGTCACTCTGGTTCAGTTCCACATCGATGCACTCTGATACCTTGCCTAGCCATGGGATAAGCTCAATTAATATGGTGTGAAGCTAGAACACCCATTCGGTAAAAACACAGAACGCGTCTGTCACTGAAGCTTCAGAGAACAAGCTTTGTAAACTTTAAACTCCACTCAAAACACAAAGGAATGAAAAAAGAAGCTAATTTCTGAAGAATTATAATTGTTGTTAAAGCAGGAATAAAAGAGTAGGAAATGGTTGTTGTCTGATACCTTTTTTTATGAAGACAGCAGTTGTTTCAGCTTGACTTATGATTATTTTGAATGCAACAATCCGATTTTAATATTACAGTTAAGAAAATTTCCGTGAAGTATATTTTGTCAGTTGATTAATTTCAGTATCACTCTACTGTCTTGTATCAAACAAACGTCAAGCGATTAAATTGCTTCCACCAATCACATAAGGTATATATATTTCTTAGAAGGCCGAACCGATATGAGTTAGAGAACTATTTTAGACTAATGAGTACTGGAGAGCCCTAGTTTGTCCTAGTTTGGGACAAAGCCAGAGGCTTGAAGTTTCTGTAACAGTGTTTATTTTTACATGATGGGGTTGCTAGCCTCATGCCCAACCTTTCCTCTTTACCAGCTTTTATTTCTGGCTTAGTGACGCAAAGGCATGCGTCTACCGGGGATCAAACCCCGGACAGTGTGCATGGTCGGCGAGCGTTCTAACCGCTTTGCCACAGACGCATTTCTTCTGTCTTCACAGAAGAGATAATTAGCACATGTCATTCATGCCAACCAGTCTCCTTCTTTGTTGAGCAATGAAAAACACCTAAGATGGTGAAATAAAAAGTTGACATCATTATATCGAGTCTTTGACAGTTGGTTTGACGTAGCCACGTAGAGGTAGACTGCCTGACTGGGACCCTCGGGGTACTAAGAATGTTGTCATGAATCGACACCAGTTAGAGATCAGGGAGTTCTGGGTAGCTGTTTCCTCCTAGTCGGTACTCTTTGGTATCGCATCTCCGCTACCCTACCAGAAATCGATGTCCTGGACCTTCAGGTTAAGAGAAGAAGCTCTCTGGTCAAGTACTCAGTGGTTCAAAATAGGATAAAACAGCTTTTCAGTGCTACCTGGTTAATAATGATCTCTGATTGATGTTGCTTGTTTGACAAAATCCACACTGAAATTAATCCAGATCCCTAAAAGAAACGATTTTCGCAGATGATTTATGTTTGATTTCAGACAAAATCGAA